AATTAATAAGCATAGACCCAATTTCCAAAACACTGTGGAAAATGTCCATTGTTATCTATGAGTGTTGTTTTATATGCATGTTTCAGGTCCGTTATATCATGTTATGGCATTGTCCATCTGTCTAGATTTTGCTCATGCAGCCAACAGCTTTTTACATTTGGAGTGATTTTCTTTGTGAATCAACAGTGTGTGACACACCATAGCCACACTGTGATTTTCTTTGTGAATCAACAGTGTGTGACACACCATAGCCACACTGTGATTTTCTTTGTGAATCAACAGTGTGTGACACACCATAGCCACACTGTGATTTTCTTTGTGAATCAACAGTGTATGACACACCATAGCCACACTGTGATTTTCTTTGTGAATCAACAGCGTGTGACACACCATAGCCACACTGTGATTTTCTTTGTGAATCAACAGTGTGTGACACACCATAGCCACACTGTGATTTTCTTTGTGTAACAACAGTGTGTGACACACCATAGCCACACTGTGATTTTCTTTGTGAATCAACAGTGTGTGACACACCATAGCCACACTGTGATTTTCTTTGTGAATCAACAGTGTGTGACACACCATAGCCACACTGTGATTTTCTTTATAAATCAACAGTGTGTGACACACCATAGCCACACCCTGTGTGTCAGGGAAAATGTCATTTTGTGACTTTCATCCTTGTCTGAAGTTGCTTTTTAACCTCAAAAGATATTTTGATGAACTTAACCCTGGTCCATACCTAAATATTCATTAGCAGAGTTCTAGCCCAAAGGTCAAGGTTGTTATTAGATAAATCCCATATGATTTCATCAGCAGCAATATTTTGTGACAGATTTACCATTGAGTTTATACGGTGTTTAGAAGCTGTAATAAATTCATTGAATCTCAAAGTTCTATTACAAATCATACATACATAAACAGAATGCAAATCAAGCTTCCTGTTAGTATCCATATTTGTGATTTACAAGTTGACTTTGCTTCAGTGTGACTTGTTCAAAATGGTTAATTTTGGTGACTGTATATAGGAGAAATTGCCAGTTTGCCCATTATCCAGGTAACATTAGCAGAATATTGTCTACTTGGGATCTTATTGGGAATAATTACAAAAGTGACATATTATGACTTTATAGTATTTTTGTATTGTTATATGATTTCAGCAACTAAACCATGATCAGAGAGTTACAAATACATGTAAAAAAAAGTCTGCAACTTAAGTGTAGCTGCCATGGCTTGATTGACTTGAAAATACCTGACTGTTGCATTTGCTGACAAATTGATGCCTTTCTGTGTTTAACAGTAGACATTTGAGATTAAAGCATGCTCAAAGTACATTTAGATGCATTGGTGTTGTAAATAAATACAGTAGTTGTAGCAAATGTAGTAGAAATTAAGTAATTTTAGATGGTTGGAAAAGATTGGGTTAAATGGTTAAAGGTTGGTTTTTTTCCGGAATGATAGTTAACATTTAGAATGCAATAATGAAATTTTATTTCTGACTTAGTTTTGCTGTACTTTTTAAATTTACTGATTGATTTTTTTATATTAAAAAATATGTCCTTGCCAGGAAAAAAATTGATGTCATCATTAATGTCTTAAAATCTTGTAATTCCTAAGTCACTAGTTACTTCATATTTGGCAATAAAAATTTACACAAACTTTCAAATTGAAGTTGATTTTCTCCTTTGATGCCCATTACATAATTTTGACAAAAGCACCATAATAACATATTTAATCAAATCTGTACAGATTTTGAATCCACTATAGCTGCTATTTAACCTTTGGGAAATACAAATTTATATGAACTTTTAGATTGAATTCAATTTGGTCCTATGATATCCATTAACATGGTTTTCACAAAAAGCATTTGAAAATTGAATCCAATATGGCTGCTTCGTAACCATTTGGGAAATCCTTCTACAACTATGGCTTTTGTTGCAACAGTTATCAGTTACAGATTATCAATCCTTTGTTGTGTACATCAGTTTGTCAGTTCTTCCATACAACACACAATCTTTTTCGTAGTATAAATAGTCAGACAAATTTTGTTCAACTGAATATATGGTTATTTGAGATTATAGTATAGTTTTTTGCATGTTGCTCCTCTCTAAATGCAGTGTTCATTCACAATTGCTATTTATATCTAAATTCTCAAAAATGTCACAAAAAAATTTGACTGAATTTCCAGGTATGATGGTCATTCAGATTATGTTCAAAGTGATGCTGATGAAGTTTCAGATATGGCCATATTTACTAAAAATAATCAAACCTTTAAATTAAGTTTCAAACACTACACAACATAATTTTACCAATTTGTCAGAAAGCATCATGGTCTTAAAAGTAGAAAAATCTTCATTTAATTACTTATTTTCCAAAATCAAAAGAATTATACCAAATTTGACAGGAAGTATGATGGCATGAAGGTCTTTCATATTTATTCAAATAATGCCTATCCACCATCAAATATGGCCACCAATACTAAATATTAAAAAAAATAAATTAATTTCTCAACTCCTCCTAACAGAATTTGATCAGATTTGATAGAGTGCTTCTCATCAGGAAAGTCATGTTTTAATGTTGCCAGTTTTGTATCTAATATATACACCATTACTAAAAATATACATTTAAATGACATTTTTTTCTAAATTGGCATGTTGCAAGAAGCATCCTGTGGGTAAGTGCTTGTGCCCAAGGTTCTTCTTACACTGAAAATTATATCTGGTTTATCATGTACTTGAAAAATTTTAAAAAATAACGGTCTTTCAGATTTTTCAATTATGTCAATCCACCATGAATGACAGCAGAGCTTGCTTAAAAAGATGTGATTAAATGATTTTTGAAAACCAATCTTCTTGGCATAAAGTGCTTTAAAATTTGTGCAAATGATGCCAATTCCCCCATTAAATATGGCTGCAGTTACAAAGGTAGACAGAACTTTAAACCTATTCTTCTTTGAGACTATTCAGCAAAATTGGCCAAATGTGACAGTGTGCATTCTTGTAGTAAGGCATCAAATATGGCCTCCATTGCTAACATTGGAAACGCCTTTAAATGACTTTTTCAAAACTACTCAATAGAATTTGACAACAATTTACAACAAGTATGCTGACATAAAAAGCTTTAAAATCTATAAAAGTGATGACAATCTGCTTTCAAATATTACTGGTATGGCTACTAAAACCATAAAACTGTTAACAACTTCTTAGATGACACTTGACATATTTTGATCAAATTTAACAGAATATGTTCTAGCTTGATTTTTTTTCAGATTTATACAAATAATGCTACTCAACCATCAAATATGGTTGCTGCCAGTAAATGTAAAAGACTTGTATAGCTTTATCAACTAAAACTCAGACAGATTTGGCCTGCATTGATAAAAAGCATCTTGGCATAGGTACTGATGTGTGGTCAAATATGAATGAAGGTACAGAACCTAGAGAATCCTTGAAACAACTGTTTTTTGCAATGTATGTAATCAACATCATTTGACCAAAATCTGCAGAAAGCATTGTACTGACCTAGATTTCCTGTTAGAATAAAGCAAAGGAAGTACTATAACTCACAATATGGACTATTTAGACTCACAGGTTTGGGATTATGTAAAGTTCTTCCCCTTGCAAATAAAAGTTTGAAACATGAAAATTTTTGGCACAATGTATTCATTTTAAGGGAACAAAGTCATAAAATGTAACCAAATAATACAAGCTAGGGGTTTTCATGAATGATTTATAATCTAAACTAAAGAAAAATATAAAATAGCAATAAAACAAGTGATACTTGAAGCTGATATTAATTTGATACTATAATTATATTTTTTAGATTTATAAATGTCAGTGGGTAGCATGCTGGACTTTTACACAGGATTCTTGGGTTTGATTCCTGGAACAGGTTGATTCAGCTGCCAAATTGTGTTCTTAGGTAAGACACTTTTCTCTGATTGCCCAGCAAAAATTGACCAAAGCATTTATACTAATTACTTTAAGGCAGTGCTTAGCCCGACCAAACCAGGAATGTTTTGTGTCTCTTTTATTTTGTTTATTTACTAAATCTGTGCAGGGATTTACAAATAATGTGGTATACCCTCTGAAAGTATCTCTGATGTGGATTTTGTTTTAATAAGAATATATTTTCTTTGCAGAAAATTGCTAAAATGTTGACCATATTACATTTATAGTTCTTGAATATTTTGAAGCAAGTTTGATAAGTTTATTAGAGTTTGACTATTGCTTGTGTTACCTTGTTAATTAAAGTGCCTGGTTTATTTCTTGTTTATATGTTATCACAGGTATTGTGCATTACTTATTACTCACAAATTATTTTAAATGTTCGTTTTGTACTTTTAATAATAAGAATATAATGACCTGTCATCAGTGTCCACACTGTACTATTATACCAAGATTCTTTCAGGAATAAAGGAATGCATCTTGATGAATATTATACTGTCATCACAAAACAAGGTCACTGTCACTCATAACAAGCTTACAGATTTGAGTTCAGTCTCAAGCACTATTCAAAGTAGATGAATGTATACATCTTTGTTAGTACCATGTCATTACAACAAAAGGAGGTCATTATAGCCTATATTTCACAGTTTACTGGCTTTTGTTAAGTTTTTGCTTTTAGCTCATTACACATTTTTTTGTTGTTTATTACTACATAATACTGTTAAGACATGGAATTATGCACCTTGATGAGGGGATTCATCTTGACCCTCATCTTTAAAACTGCCCATTATTTCATATTTCAGTTGGATGTTTTCATTGTTATACTTTAATCATCAAACTAGATGATCTCACATTATATATCTCTTAATACTTTAATAAAAAGATTAATCTGACCTATATTTCACATTTTGCTAACTTGAGAATAAGTGTTTGTTTTCACTTACCACTGCATAGATATTTGGTGTGCTGTGTGCATAACTGTACTATCTAGAAATCAATAATTAAATATGAGGATACATCTTATTTGCATTACACCCTAATTTCAGTTCTAGAGACCGCTCCGGTGGCTTAGTGGTTAGAGTGTCCACCTTGGATGTGGGAGGTCATCTGTTCGAACTCCAGCTGAGTCATATCACAGACTTTAAATAATGGTATTAACAACTGCCTCGCTTGGTGCTCAGCATTAAGAAGTTAGTGTTAGGACTGGTCAGCCTGGTGTCAGGATAATGTGACTGGGTGGGACACCATGCCACATGTCTGGAACATGATGCCCCAGTGTTAGACATCACTATAAACTATCACACTGCAGACATTGTAGTTATATGACTGAAATATTGTTAAAGCTACATTAAAATCTATATCACACACATACACACATACACATACACAAACACACACACAGAGACAAACATACACTTCAGTTCTAGACAATTATGGTCTATATTTTATGCTTCATGGACTAGGTTTAAATTTTGTGTTGATGTCCATTTCTCAGGTATTGTTCAGGCTAGAATCATGAAAATGACAATGTGTATCACTGTTACTACCACACCCTTTCAACAAAAGGGGCTCTCTGTGACCTGTATTTCATCTTGAACTGGCAATGGTTAGGTTTTATCATTTAGCTCATGACTACATGCGTTTTTGGGATGTTATATACATACTATCTTGGCATGAATCATGGAATTTGGTAAGTTCTACATCCTTTTTGTAGAAAGAGATCTCTGTGACTTATATTTCAGGTTTTAGTGACTTTGTTGCAGTTTTTGGGCTAAGTTCATTTAGAGAATTCTGTTTATATTTCGGTCATGGAATACGATACATGGATGCCCTAATAAGTTTTGTCTTATACCAAGTAGGGCAGTCATCTCAAAAGTTGCACCTGGAATATGATAATTGCTGAGCACTGACTAGAATTTTGAAACAATATTACCAAACTTTTCCTCAAAATATGTTGGAAAACAATTTGCCCTATTTATCATTTCTACTGCATGCAGGTTTTGTAAACATTTCCAAGGCTAACACAAGTGATGTCATTTACATGTGTAACTGACACCCTTACACATCTGTAGTGGCTAATCAAGGTAATTATTGATGCATGAAGTATAAACTGCATCTGTAGCTCCCTTGGTGTACTAAGGATGAATGGCATTCAGGGAAAAGATGATTGCCCTATGGGATGATTGCCCTATGGGATGGACAATGACAGTATCTTCTGAAGCAGATTTGAAAATGAATAATCTTTAAACAATTTATGCAAAAACAATTTTTGGATATGATCAACTGAATATAGTACCTTGACTTTATTATTATAAAAATTGTTTTTATTATTGTTTGTCTTTAATAGTCAATAGCTTGTTACCAGTTGGATGTGTGTGATGGTAGGTGGATACATAGATGGTTTCATGGTATGTCAACACATCACAGGCAGTATAGTGCTGAAGATTGAACACAAGTGATGTCATTTACATGTGTAACTGACACCTTTACTCATCTGTAGTGGCTAATCAAGGTAATTATTGATGCATGAAGTATAAACTGAATCTGTAGCTCCCGTGGTGTACTAAGGATAAATGGCATTCAGAGAAAAGATGATTGCCCTCTGCAAGGTTACTAGAAGCCTGTGACTTTTATCTAGTAAAATTTGGCTTCTGGGGTGGGGTCGACAATGACATTTTATTAGTCTGATTTTATTTTCAGTTTGATAATATCTACTGAATGCAGTAAAAAAAGAAAGGTGGGCTATATATTCACAGGTTGCTTAAAGCAGTTTGTGACAAAATACAATGAATGCAGCTAATCTTGGATTTTTACAGATCACTTTGAAATAAGGAGTTTATGGTATCATCCACACCTGATGATGCTTATATTTACCAAACACTGTGATCCTGCAATTTTGCTCCTGCAATTTTATTTTTCACACCCCATGTTATGGTCATCATTTGAATATTCACATAATGACAAACTGCCTTCCTTTTGCAAGTTTTATTAGAGTTATTGCCCTTTTTGTCCTGCAGCTAAGTGAAGTGTGTTTGCATCTTGTGACTGTAACTATCCCTGAGATATTTGATGGATCAGTATAAAAACTTTTCCATTTTATGGTTGTTGTCTGAAGATTTATAATAATAATAATAATAATAATAATAATAATAATAATAATAATAATAATAATAATAATAATAATAATAATAATAATAATAATAATAATAAAAAAGATTTTAGTAAGAGAAGGTAATCAGAAAGTTACAGAACTAATCTGCTTTGAGGCCTTCTATCTGTCATGTACAATATATACAGTATATACAACACGACATAAAGAATCTGGCTTGACACTAAATAATTAAGATTTTAAAAATCAAGTAAAAAGCTTGGAATACATGCACAGGCATCTGTGAACACAAAAACATATATAAAATATAAAATATCATCCTGCATTCAAAAATTCAACTGTGAAAATGATGCAAAATTATAGAAAATCAGGTGGTATTTATTGTACTAGAATTGTTCAATTTTCTAAAGATTTCATCCATTTGAGACATTGATTATGAAAAAAAGAAATGCTAGGAGTCTGCCTTATGTCACTGGGAATGTTGTTCCATACCAGTAGACCAGTATATTAAAAGCTTTTTTTTAAACAATTCTGTGGCCTTAGTATAATGTAATTTTTACTTCTTATGGACCTTAAATTTGGAGTACCATCAGCATCTCTTTGGTGAAAGATATTGCTTAGATAGACAGGAATGGCTTTTCTGGATAATTTATACATCAATTTGGTCTTTCTAAGAAATATTCTTTCTTGTATTGTTAAAATATTTAGATTATTCATTGCATCCTAGAAATTGATCTAGAATTAAATGGCATGCCCTCTTTTGGAGTCTTAAAAGTGTTGTTATGTTTGATTTAGACATATTACCCTAAAGTACCGTCTCGGTTTTACCCATCTCAGACAGTGTAGTATCATCTGCATAGAGGTCCAAGGATGGAGCACTGTGGTACTCCACAATTAATATTTTTTCTTTCAGAAAGTTGACCATTTAATGGTGATGCTCAACAGTTTCATATTTAGCATAGGGTTAGAATTTTAAAGAAAAAGAATTTACCCGTGTTTCTCCACTAGTTATACTGGCTATTTAAAAAAGACTTTGTATATCTTAGGCATTGTTCAAAGAACTTTTAATTCATTTTATTTTGCGTATGATTGATGAGTGGGTGTAATATGGGTTATGGAGTATACAGCTTGGCCTTACTCCAGATGTGCACCTTTCAAAAAAGTGTTAGCTCCACTTGCTCATTTTCGCTTCGCGAACTTCAGAAGTAAATTGTAAAATAAAGATCTGATAACTTTTTTTACATTTTATGAATTTGGTAATTTATTCATTGCACTTTCAGAAGTTGGTATTGTCTAGTCTGGCAAAATCCATTTTCCCTTTTTTAATAGCTGCCAAGGATAGTGTACTTTAGACAAATTCAGGCTGATTTTTGGAGCACAAGGGAGCAGTCATTTTAGTTAGCAGTGTGCTAAGATCATTTACAATCTTTCAAAAAGTATAATATCCAAAGAAATGTCAGCCACATTACATGAAAGTAGCACAAATGTATGCCAAGATTCTCTCCACTGTGCATGTTTTAAATGCAAACATTCACCTTACATACATCACTCTCTCAAAAGTACACAACAACTGATGAGCACCAGTACCAAAGATACTTTTTGCACTCTATCGGTTAAGTAAGAAATAAACCAGTTTAGGGAATTTTCAATGCATTGATACATTTTTAGTTTTTCAAGCAAAATTTCATGGTCTATAAGGTCAAAAGCTTTACACAAATCAATCATAATAGTGCCTACCATTTCTCCTTGATCTAATGCTTTCAGTCATTTATCAATCAAAGATGCAAGTGCAATTTCATAGGAGTGATTCTGTCTAAAGCCAGACTGATTAGCATAAATAAGATCAAAAGTGTTCAAATAGTTGAAAAAAGAATCATGTACATGTTTTTCTAGTAATTTGGAAAGACAAGGAAGAATAGAGATGTGTCTTTAGTTATTTACATCATCTTTTTTTTATGCTTTATGCAATGGTGTAACCTTGGCAGTTTTCCATGTTTGTGGAAATTTATTAGACTTAATGCATTCATTGTAAATGAAAGCTATACACTCTACATGTGCAGGTCCAACAACCGTTCATAGCCTTGGTCCAATCATATCAAGTCCTATAACTTTACAATCATCCATTTTTTTAAATATATTTCAAAACAAATTCTGGACTCATTTCAGGAAGTTCAAACTTTATATTGTTTGTTGTTTTTTTAGCACAAAAATGTTTGAGTTCCAGATGATCAGATGAAGTTCGGGTTCTTTAAGTTTTTCAGCAATTTGAATGAAAATGTCGTTAAAAATATTTGAAATGTCAGTTGGACTATCGTGTGTGCATATTGACAACTCACTGTGCTATTATATTTTATTCGAGTTATTGCCCTTTTTTACTTCAAGCCTGATATAACTTATGACAGAATCTTGTAAACATATCTAGTTCAGTGGTTTGCCATAAAAAGAACTTTGTACATTTTGCAGCCATTATTTGAAGATGTTAATAACAACAAATCACCATGAGTTTTATTAGAGTTATTGCCCTTTTTCCCAAGTAACTAAATGCAGTGCATGAAATGATCTTGCAGCATGTCTTGCAAATTTTTATGTTGTTTTTTTTGTTGATTGCTACAAATTTTGGCACATATTGCGATCATCCTATAAAGATGTTTACTTTAACAATATTTATTTTTTAATAGTAATTACTCTTTTTTTTAGATGCAACTGAATGCAGTATATGACAGAAAATTGTGAATCTGACTACTCTTTCATTTTAGGACTTTTTAGGTTCATCATCAGAAAATACATGTCTATTGATTACTGACTCACACTTTTTTCAGAAGAATTATGCACTGTTTTTGCTACAGACTTATCATTGTGGGGGTGGGGTGGGATGCAGGAGAGGCAGGGGTATATTTATGTGTGGAAATTGCTCACCATTTCACTTACCTTTTTAGAGATTAAAAATCTGGGATGGATTTCATGGATGATTGGAAATGGTATAGATTTATTACTTTGGGAAATAATTAAATCAATTAGAAA